TTCAGCGAGCACCCTTGCAATGACGCACGGATGGTAGCAACATTGTATGGTTAAATAAAGAGAAAGGAAAAATAAATATACATATATTATTTGTGTACCATGAACATTTATCTCTAGTCTATCAACTTCTTAAGGCTATATGCTAGTAATAATGCAAAAAGATACAAAGATTTTCCTTCTTTTCGTCGTGGTAACACGTTTGCCACCATAAATCTCAGACTGGGTTCATCTATGTCCCGACGGGCCTCTATTTTATACAGGACATACATTTGTGTAGAAGTAGAACATTGCTCGACAATAATCCTTCCACAGTCACCGTAGGTACTTTCCTCGCATTTTATAAAAGCTATGAATAAGCGATATGCGTTATCTCCTACTTTATCAAACATATTAGAATTACAGACGTTGATAAACACGAAACCAGAGTACGAGGTCTTGAGTTCAATTCCCGGGGCTGATAAAATATTATTAGTTTCGGTCCCGTCGGATATGTAACTTCCACCATCCACCTAATATAACATTTCGGATATTAGAATTATGCTACGTTTTACAGTGATACAACTGTAATTGTGTAACACACACACACACACATACAGCCAATACACTGCCACAGCTCATTTCATTTAATGATTTTGTTTTCACGAACTCGGCGCCATGCTCCAAATCAACAGAAGCCTAAGTTACTTAGTTTATTTGACGACCGAATACGAAGTATTACCTACCCTTCTACTACCAATAGATGACGTCAAGTCAAATCATTCCTTTCTTTGTTTTTACTTAACGTTTTAGGTATATGTTTTGAAACTAGATTCTAACAAAATTCACAAATCAACGGTTTAAATTATCTGACAAGTTATTTGGCGACAAACTCGAGCTCTGCAACCTTTCGATAGCGCAAAGGCAATAAGTTTCTTGTCAAAATCTTTACTGAATTCACATCATCTCTATTGCCAAGCAATCCATAATCCAAAATCCGTTCATCCACTAAAAATAAAAGTTCTTACTGAACAAATCACTTTAACCATGGCCGTAACAGTAAGCTTAACTTTTTAAATACTCTCGTTTTCCTCGTACTCTCCCTAAAACTTCAATCAAGGGGCTTGACCAGGAAATTGAGGAATTAAAATAAATCTGTCCCTATTTACATTTATTTTTATAAGATAATACCTTCTGAAGTTTTTGTAAGAAGGTATGTTTAAAAAGTGTTCTGTAAGGATTCGAGGAAAATAACTGAGCTCATTAAAAGGTTTTCATCTCCTTTCGTTAATTGCTATATTGAAAATAAGGAAGATAATTTAGGAAACCGAACCAAATTGCCTCATGTCATGCCATGAAAAGTTCAAAGTTACTGATTTCGAAGTCGTGACCTCTGAGCAAGTCAATACCCTTACAATGAGGCCTAATGAAGAATTAACTGAACTAAATTGTCGATAATTTTCTTTAAACAGGCAATTTCAATTATACATAGGTACATATTTATGTTTGTTTATAGACCTAACAATAACTGGTAATACATAATCTTTTGACAGAAGTTATTTGTTTAAAACTTGTATAACTCACTGCTCACTGCTGTTACTCTCTGAAGAGCTAGGCACAGGTCATAGGTTTACCTACACAGCAACTAGTTTTTCAATCAAATTTTTAGGCATTAGATATTATGCTGTTGCACTCTTCACTACTATATAGTTATCGTGGTTACCCGGAGGTTTAAGACGCCCACTTCCCAAGCATAAGGGCGTGGGTATGGAACCTACCAACGGCAAGTACCTATGTGACTTTATCCGAGTTATATATAGGTACTTTCTAAGATTATCTAGACACCAATGACGAACGGTGAAGGATAACATCGTGAGGAAACCTGTGCTTATAATTTCTCATTTATTATAAGTTTCAAATCGCCAACCCGCATTGAGCAAGCGTGGAGTTTAATGTTCAAACCTTCTCCATGCGAGAAGAGCCTTGCCATACCATGCCTTTGATCAGAAGTTGCCATTTATTGGCTGTTGATAATGATGAATACTCTTTTGCTGGCGAAATAACCTAACTAAATAAAATACAAAATATCGTCATAAAATATTTTTTTTAACTTTAGGTACTATTTAATTCTTTATACGTAGATGGAAACTTGAAAACAAAAGCGTACAACATAAAATACAAATAAGTCTCTTGGTGGCATTTCACTGGTACCGCGGGAAAAGGAAAAATCGCTACATAACACCCTATTGTGTAACGTTTCAAAAACTGTTGACACATTTATTATGAGTTCACTGATCTTCGTCACGTAAATTTCGAAACCTTTCTGCATAACAAATAATATTATTCTTCTAACCGATATCCTGAGTTCTATTAGGACTTACCAAAATACCACATAGTCCAGAATTCGAACTACAATAGGTAATCATTGTTCATTGGAAGCTTTATATGAAATCTAAAACTACGCATGGTGTATAAAAAATGGCTCGTCGCCTATGATACGGCACTCATAACAATAGTAAACACTTAAAACATAACATAACATAACATCACGCCTTTTTTCCCCGAAGGGGTAGGCAGAGGTGCACATTATGGCACTTAATGTCACTGTACAATATAACACCCACTTTTCACTATTTATGTTATTAGTCCCATGTAATAGAGGGTGAGCCTATTGCCATTTACCGGGCACAATTCCATACTCCGTGCTACTACTGAGATTTTTTACTTAAACTTAAAACTGAGTTTTTAAGTCTAACATTAAATATGTAAGTTAGAAGTGTCTCTACATGCAAGTCTAAACTTTCAAAACTACGATTTGGCAGCCAGATTTCACTATTAAAAGTAACTATCACCAATATCCGTGATGTAATTACGAAACTCAAACATCGTTTTCCAGGAATTCCCCGAAAATGTTTTCTATTATCTATTAATAGGTATGTGACAACATATTATAAATTATTTGTTTATTATTGCCTTTGCATACATACCCATATCAGAATATACCTTATATACGATAAAACTGATAAAATAGCCGATTATTTCGGCACGTCATAGCTTAATAAGAAATGGAAATCTTTATCCTTACCGACAACTACATATTTTAATGATAGGAACATTTTTTTTAGATAACTAATGTAAAGATAATATGTTCGACAGTATGTCTTAGTCATAAAGTCAAATTCAACACCTGTTTCTAAATATTTTTTAAAACTTTTCTCGTTTGTTTCATCCAAATGCCAAGAAAATGAAATGCTTACAATGAAAAAATACTTTGACCTTTAAAATGTAATTTGTAGTAGAAACAACAGAACATACAACAGAAGTAAATAGTAGTCTAACACAATTATAATATGTGCATCAATTATATGATGCGATTGGCTAATCAAGGGAACGACTTTTGGCATGCTTTTGCATGAGCGCACAAAAATATCGGCTAGTCGGGAGAGATGGCAGAACATCGTGGGACGGGCTACAGCAATTGATTCAGACTTATCATGTTAACCACAACCACTCAGTCGAGAGTAATACCTACAGGTGAAAGAAGAAGAATAATATGTATGTCAGAGGGCGGTGTAGGCGATATTGGGCGAGAGCTCTCTTCGTCATACATATCGGTAGAGGTATCTGTATGCAGCAATAAAACAATAAAATCTTCGCAATGAAATTTTTGTTAATTTACGAGCTACTCTGAGAAGAAATGCCGAAACAAACTCAGAGGTTTTAGTCACTTCTAAAGTTCAAACAGGGTTAACAAAGTTTAAACCACTCTTATTATAATGTTCACTATTATTCTCAAACTCAATGACAAATTCACAACACTGATTCTATTGATTGCAACCACTGAACACTGATCGGCTAACGATATTCTTAGCAAGTGGTTGTTTGCTCGGAGTCCAAGACAAGATTGAGTGCTGTGGTGCAATGTTGAACGCCAATCAATGTCCCCTCCTCTTCGACAGACATGGCGTCACTATTACCTGTAAAGCACGCCATCTTTATTCCTTTTGTTATTTTCCATCGTTGTGTAGTAAATCGAAGTCCCGTACTAATGACCCTTCCGACATGATATATCACAGGGCATTTATTTTCGCAATTTATAATGACCATGTTTTCATAATAAACACATCGTCATCAACAGCCTATAAGTGGCTAAACCTGACCAAAGGAGAAGGGCACGCGGCGCTTAAGTTAGTGGAAAGTAGACGACAGTCAGCTCGGGTTGCAAACATCATCTTTTCACAAAATATCTCGTTAGGATTTATACCAAACAAAAAATATTATTTTTTATACAATGTGCAATTAAATAAATTTTCCATTGTGTATTATAATAACTACGTAATTGCTATGGTTAAATTTTTATTATTATCAGGTAGTTTTAAATCCGTAGCAGTATTTGACCAACTGGGATTTTAATCACTTTTAGGTAATTTAATTAAAGTTTCCCTAACAAGACAATGGTCTAAAAATATATTGTTACCTATGTAGGAATGATCGACATTGTGTGTCTCTTATGTTATAATGTAATAGGTACTTCGAAGGGGTTGTAATAAGTAGATACACGACTCTACGCTAAAACATTGTTCACCTACTGATCACCAGTTCAGTTCTAAGGCTCAGAGAAGAGGGGGTGGGTATACCTAGCCATAAATAATAGAACATTTTGGTACATCTTTTAGGGCATGTATATTTGTATATTATAGTATGTATAATTATGTTCTTATCGCGCATTATTTCCGTGCTGATACGAATCGTCAGATATTGTAATCATCACCAATTCATTGATAAATATCAACACAAAATTCAGTTCTTTGTGAGGATTTTTTCGTAGCTGACGTTTTGATAAAAATATAGAAGGTGAATCCGGTTCTGTTTGTAGAAATTAGTGTGTGCGTTTTTTTTTTAGTGGCATGTGCAAGTGCGGGCAAACAGTAATGATAAAGTAAAACTCTGCGAATACTTAAATAGTGTCTTAATATTGTGTCATCTAATTGTTACTTACATGTGTATAGAAAAGGGGTAGCAAAATGGGGTTCCGGAGGCGGACTATAATATTATTACTTATTTTTTTGGAATTTTTCGGACCAAAACTTTCTGTTTCTGCACAAGGTAAGAAAATGTTATTGGCTACTAATATTATAAATGTGTAAGTTAGCGAGGATGTATGTAAATGTGTTTGTTCCTATTTCATCAAAAAACAACAAATGGATCTGGATGGAATTTGCCACATAGGTATATGGATTGTACTGTAGAAAAATATTGGACTACTTTGGAACCGCGGACAAAAACTGACAGAAGTTGGTATCGATAATATTGATTACATTGAAAATTTGGGTCATTTTTTGTATGTAATTTGTTGTAGGTAATGCTTCGCATTTTAACCCTGGCCCCGAATCCCCATTCTTAATGTCACGTCCGTTTTTCACCAGCTGTAATTTATAAATCCATCCAAAACGAGTGAGCCTATCGATGTCGATCATGAATCGTCATCGAGAATTAATTTCGAAAACCTAAAAACATAGTAATACTTTTCCTACCTAGGAATTTGAACCATTGTGCGGCACTCACGATAATATAAAAAAAAAACTAATATAGGTTTTAACCTTGAAAATAACAACTAATAACAAAAATGTAATATATATTTTTTTGGCCTTTTATGCCTTTTAGTTCATTACAAGGCTATACAGACCTATTGTATGTACTTTTTATAGCCCACATAGGTGCAAACTCCTCGTCAAAAAAAAAATTAAACCCCGCATTATTAGGCTCCGTATGACTATTACACCCCATCTAGGTGTAAAGATCTCATCAATACAGATTACTCAAGCCTAAAGACAGGGTAACTACTGTTACTGTTGAGGAGTTCCCTTAACTGTAATGCGACTTCATCATCAGACTCCTAATGACAATCATACCGCTTCTGGGTGTAAAGTTTTATTAATGCAAATAATTCAAGCCTAAATATGTGATCAATACTGTAAACTCTCGGGGAGTTCAGTCGACTGTCTTTCAGTTTCATCATCAGATTAACTCCAAACCTATATCAAATTGTATTGACTTAAATTGTTAATGAATGAAATATCCACTGACTGCCTCGTTGGCCGAGTGGTCACAAGTGCGACTGCCGGGCACGGGGTCTCGGTTTCGATTCCCGGGCCGGGCAAAGTATTACTGGGTTTTTAAAAAAATCTCAGTAGTAGCACGTAATCTGGAAATGTGCCCGGTATATGGCAATAGGCTCACCCCCTACTACATGGGACTTATAACATAAATAGTGAAAAGTGGATGTTACATTGTACAGTGGCATTAAGTGCTTCCATGAACATTTCAAGACCGAAATTAGCCAAATCGTTTCAGCCGTTCTCGAGTTTTAGCGAGACTAACGAACAGCGATTCATTTTTATATATAAGACTAGCGGACCCAACAGAAGTTGTGCCGTAATAATAAGTATAGATAAATAACCTAGAAACCGACTGCACCGCCATCTGCCGGGCTGATTTGTGAATCTAAACCATTTCCAGATACACACACAAAAAATTTCATCAAAATCGGTCCAGTCGTTTGAGAGAAGTTCAGTGACATACACACTCACAGAAGAATTCTATATTTAAAGATATAATAATATTAATGTTCCTAATAAGTTACCAGTAACCTACTCCATAATTGTATAGCTACTCCCGCGCGGTTCCACCCGTTCTGCTCAGCTCTCATTGATCGTAGCGTGATGTATTATAAAATAGACTATCCAACACAATAATATATTATTAATTCAATTCGAACCAGCACTTCCAACAATTAATTTGGTAAACAAACAAATGGTAAATTATTCAAACAAACAAACTTTTCAGATTTATATATTAGCATAATATATGTATATAGAGTATTCATATTATATATTAGTATATAGTATTCAAGATTCAGCATTATACAGGCGACTTGTAACTCGAGGTACTCCTCTCGGGAGATGATAATACAAATGATCTTCTACCTCATGTTGTTTATTGATAAATTGACCATATTAAGACAAAAATCACTTAAATCAATGCAGTAGTTTTTTTATTTATTGATGTTTTTGTCGTTAGATTGGGATTTTTCACCAAAACCGAACATTTTGAATATCTTAGAAACTAGCCATTATCGAACTATTGACCTCAGGACTATTTTTGTAGGAAATTAGTAGTATTATCATCTCCCGAGAGGAAAACGTCGAGTTACAAGTCACCCTGTATATATTAGTAAGATATTTTTTCTTTTACAGGATGTTCAGTAGGGGAAGGAGGACCTATAAGCATATTAATCAATGATATACATGAAGGCATTATTTTTGATCTGCAAACTACAGGCGTTACCGGTAAGTTCTACATCAGTCAATCACATGTTTTTTTTATATCTGATAGGTTGACGTTTGGCCACCATCTCACCTGGTGGTAAGTATTGATGTGGCCGACGTTGTAGAATGCCTATCTATAAACAACTTGTTCACTCGGGACTTGAAGACCCAAATTGTATTTGTCGGGAAAGACAGATACCGGCAAGGAACTACATTTGTTAGCGGTTCGCACAAAGAAATTTGATGCAAAACATTTCGTGCATAGAATGTCCACCATATTATAATGGTGGCACCCTGCCGTTCGTCTAGTAGTACGATGATGAAACGATCTAGGGATAATAAGGTTGTGCTATTCCCACGCACATTCACCGAAATGTATCCGATAGAAGACCGAAAGGCTTGCGACTTTACACCTATGTTCAAGGGCTTTAAAACCGAGCCGGTACGTGGCCTTCACTCGAGAACCTTTCTGCCCCGGCGGCCGTCGGTTCTTAGCGCTATGTGCCCTGCCCACTGCCACTTAAACTTGCTAATACGCTGGGCTATGTTAGCGATCTTTGTTCGTTTGCGGATTTTCTCATTTTTTATCCGATCTCGCAAAGAAACTCCGAGCATAGCCTTTTTTCCATAGCGTGCTGAGCGACCTTGAGCATCTTTATAAGGCCCACAGTGAGAGACCACATTTCAGTTTCATAGATCTTCACTGATAAAACACATTCATTATAGACTTTCGTCTCGAGGCACTGATGTATGTTGGACGAGAAGATATTGCGTAATTTTCCGAACGCTACCCATCAAAGTTGGATTCGTCGATTGATCCTTCTCGAAATTAAACCTACCAGATCCAGCTGGATCACTTGTCCCAGGTATATATATTCGTCAACAATTTCGAGGCTAGAGCTCCCAACTGATATCGGGTAGGGCGTAACAAGGGCGTTCGACATGACTTTTGTCTTGTCCATGTTCATTCGGAGGCAACAGGTAGTTGTTGAGAAACTCTACAGAGGTCATCGACCACTGTGCTTAGATCCTCTAGCGATTCTGCCATGACCACAATGTCGTCGGCAAACCGGAGTTGAGTGATGTACTCGCCATTGATGTAGATGCCAGATCCTTTCTATTCCAAAAGTTTGATGGTGTCTTCCAATGCAGCTTGCTTGAAAACACCTTGTAGACATGGCTCAGAAGTGAGATGAGTCTGTAATTTTTCAGTAGAGTGCTATATACCTTCTTAAAAAGCACAGCACCACCACACTTCTGATCCATGCCGCCGGCGTTACGCCTTCGAATATGACGGAGTTGAAGAGCTTCTGAAGGATTCTCAGTACCGGCATTCCACCCGCCCGCTTTCAGAAGTTCTTATGTAATTCCATCCTCGCCCGGCGCCTTGTTGTTCTTAAGCAGCTAGAGGGTCATTCTAATCTCGTATAGGCTGATGTCCGAACGAACTCGTCCCCTGACTCGCAATTCTCCAGGCACTCAAAACGATTTGATAGCTCGATCTAAAAGCTCTCGGGGCGACCGATATGTGCATTTGATCGATTTGGTCATTTGATGTGTGCACCAATTTATAAGAGTCATGCCTAAGTTTTATTGTCATTGAACCTGACCAAGTTGGCGTGACCCGAATCGGAAACCGCCTGCAAAGACAGGTACAAGCGTTTTACCATGAACTCCACGCACTTTGGACAGATTCCACTCAACAACTATGCTGTCTTGTTGCCCATACATGTGAGAAATTTACAACTCAACCTTACTAAAACATATTTAATATATAGAGAACCTTGAGACAGAATTTAATGAGCTTTGGCACAGTGAACCACGGCTACGGCTACCTTTCAAATAGAGAAAGTAGAGCTGTGGTGGACGTGGGTGCGTTTTCTATACATTTTTGCCCACCGTCCTTTCGATTAGCGGCCATCTTGGATTTATATTTTGACATCACCATCGGTTTTGCCAACCTCGAAAACCATGAACATCGACACCCAATATAAAAACAATTGTGCTCTTAGGTAAATCTTCTCTGCTAGGAGTAGCTCGAGAGACGCTTTGGCGTCCTTGCCTACCGCCTGACGCAGGTCCTTACCAAAAATGGGAGCTTCGGGAGGTACCTGTGTCTGATGGGACGGAAGAAAATGCCCGGCTGTCATATCGCCCTGTGGACACGGTGGAACACACGGTAGAGGCACGCCCTGCGTGGACCAAGTACCGCCATGCCCTCAGGGATGTAATCGGCGACGGCGACTTCTCGCGGCCCTAGTTTAGGCCATGATGCGAGAGAGGAGGACTGGAATGCAGTCTCCTCTATTTGGAAAGCATGCTAGCTAAGGAAGAGGCGGAGCGCGTGAGGTAGCGAAACGCTGCCTCCTCACAACACAACCATCGCGAAGGACACTCTGGGCGTCGGGGATCGCGGGACGATCTCCGGCCACCGTAAGTACGGGCCTGTGGATGGCGAGCATGGGTAGCTCCGACGGCCACCAGAACCAGACCCGAGCACACGGGCCGTCGCGCGCCTCAGAAATCTGACAGACCACCGCAAATGGGGGCCAATAGGGCTGATGCCAGTACGGAGCTGCGGAGAACGTCAAAGGTTACTGGGGCTTCAAAGTGCAGGAGTAGGAACGGGCTGGTTTTAGTCAGTAAATTCTGACACTCCCTCCCGCCTCACGCAGACGTCATTCGATGATTTTCCCCCATTAAAAAAAAAAATATTAAAATTGTATCTATGCTTCTTTTTTCAACAATTGCCTATTTTCTCGTTACATACATTATATTCTCAAATATGTATTGACAGGGCACCGTTAAAATATTTATCGTTTTAAACAATTCTTTCAGCGATTCGCAACAGCTCGGACAGCCCGCTTTTGTAGAATAAAAATTGATTCTATTTCTGCAGCTCGACCCCACAACAAAATTCCGTACGATATTATGCTGTAAAAATAACTAAAATAGACAAGCCTTGCTGTATCTACGTACGTGAGGTGTCTGTCTGTCTAACTGCAAAAGCAGCTGATCTTTATCTCCCCGAAAGCGCCTTTATGCCCGTTCAAAATAACATTATAATCATTGCTAACCACGTTTGGTAAACAAAATTTAATAAAATACATTTGGTTTTTGGTTTCTTCGAGTCGAGTTCGTAAAAGTACATTAAATTCCGGTTGAAAGCAGCAAAAACTGATTATAAGAAGAAACCTGGTGGGCTTCTTTTTCAATGAAATCTGTACTGTCTGTTAGGTAGAGAAAAATATACATTGATTTTTTAAGTGTTGAGAGTCATGCATCAGCACTATTAGGATCGACCGGTGTGATATCTTGGCCTCACAGAAAACCGACGTAACATAACGCTTGCGTTGTGTATTTTCGAATCCTCCACAATCCTCAAATTCCCAAAAGGCCGGTAACGAACTTTTCACCCTTGGTGTTTCGGGTGTCTATGGGCTACGCCGATTGCTTACCATCAGGTGATCCGTCTGCTCGTTTACCGGCTTGTCGCATAAAAAAATGAGAAAAAATAATCGTACCTATACATTAAAATGTTTTATATTTTAGGCATAGAGCAGCACGCTTATGGTCTAAATATTATAAGTCCTCCTTATGTAGACATGGCCTTAGACAACTCTAGATTTGTGATGAGGACTAATGAAAGGTTCTCACTATATGAGGAGAATGAGATTGAGAGATCAATAGTCATCATTGTGAGATTCAGATGCAGTAGCAATAATCATCTTGATGTGGTAAGTCATATTTTGGTTTTTAGTTATGTTGAGATACTTTTGACTTACTCCGGCTTTACATGCCATTTGATTGCCTACTCGTATTCTTGTATTAATTATTTTGTCATAATAATAAACAAACGATTAGTGTAGTCAAATTTGGCACCGCACCGATTTTTTAATTAAATGGGTTGTTCAAAATTATGTGGCGGTTGCAAGCAATGCCAAATGTGTAACTAATTATTACGATATAAAAAAATATGATAACAAAGACCCAAATAAACAGACAAACATTCGTAGAGATTTTAACTTATTTAATCCATAATCCAACAATACTGGACCAGATTTGATTGACTGCAAGATATTACAGTGCCTTTCCTTTAATATTAACTACTGACAGTAAGACTTGTGATAACTTACCTACTTAAAAAATATTGTTATTATATAATTGCAGACCACCACGATACATTTGCATGATACGAACAATCACGCTCCGAGGTTTATACCGACGGACCACTATCATTACGTCCTCGATGCACCAGTACCACCAGGGTATCAAGTAACTGGCTGCTTGTCCGAGCTAATTGCTCGAGACGTCGACCTCACAACTGAAAGAATTATATTCGATATTCAACAAAATCCGTTTTTCGGAATTACTTACAGTGCTGAACTATCAGATAATCGAAGTAAGGAATTTATAGCGATAGTAACTACTAAAACATTCATTAGAAATTTGCCGGAAGAAATGACATTAACCATAACTGCTACGGTAAGTCTTAAATGTTATTTTTAAGTTACAGATAACGTTCCATATACCTAGATCTATGCAGTGAAACAAAACGTTTTTTATTACTTTCTAAAGCCAAAAGGTACATGCTGAGGTATATGGTACTATACGCTTTATATAATCATAGATACTCGCTCACTGTCTTTACTAAATACACGTTAATCAAGTTAAAGTGAAAAACGACGGGAAGTGGGTATTACATTGTACAGTGGCATAATGTGCACCTCTGTCTACCCCTTCGGGGGTAAAAGGCATGATGTATGTACAATGGGAAAATACACGTGCACAAGCTTACCCCCACACAATTACGGATAATATGTCGGTATATTGTATAACCCTATAAATGACACGAGAAAAAATAAATTAAAAGCCATGATTAAAAAATGTGCCTAAGTGTCAAAATTGTCAAAATGGTTAATTACGCTTAATGTTCTTTTCTCAGGATGTCCATGGTACAGAAGGCGAAGGGTCACATACAACAAGTGGTAAAATTACTATTAAAGGTAATACAAATTTCGTGCTGCCCAACGAACCAGTGTTTTCTAAAACTATATACAATGGCATTTACACAGCCGCTGGCCAAGTAGAGCTAGAAGAATTTATATCTCTACAAAATGGTTATGACGACCTCGTGCGTTTTTCTGTTGAAGAAAGTAAGTATGAAACGTGCTACTTAACTATATTAAATAATACTAGTTAACCTACTATAAAATATCAATGAGATACGTTTAAAAAATAATGCCGCGTTAAGAATGTTTACTTATATAATAAAAAATATAAATGTATTAATATTTTTTATGTATTTATAGCTTACAAGATCAATTTTAGGCTTGTCAAACTACCAGACCAGGTAAATCAGATTATGATAGAAGTACTGGTTCCACTAGAAGAAGATATTCTCCTACAAGGAAGCATCGCTATAGAAATAATAGCGGAAAGAGAATTTACTAGCGGAGCTTCAGCTACAGTCATCTTGCAGTTACCTCAAGGTACAAAAATTGCTTTAAAAACTTTACTTTACTATCTTTCTAGTATTATAAATGCGAAAGTTTGTGTGTTTATTTGTATGTCTGTACTCAATCACGTCAAAACGGCTGAAGAGATCGGATTGAAATTTGGAATAGGGATAGACTATGGTTTGTTTACATAGACTATTTGTTTGCCGCAGAATGCACGCTAAGCCGCGGGAAGAAGCTAGTGAACATGTATATTTTTTATATTTTTTAAATTGTGACCAACAAAAGTTAAGGCCAACAATAATAAACAACTGCCACGAAATGAGTAAGGGGACACGTAGAAACGTGGCCCAAACGTTGGCACAACGTAAAAATGCACGTCAATACGCTGCAACATTGCCGTACCTTGTAAAATTCTGGCTATTTTTGGCTTACGTATGCTACTTCTTAATTGAGGGCGAAAAACATTCTCAAAACATAGAATATATAATATGCTTAATGTATACTCACAGTAAATTGCATTTCGTAGCTATTGTAATACTATTTTTAATTGTACAATTTTGTATACAATTTTGAATAGCTATTTGTACGGTAACTTTCAGTGGATCCTGTGCAATTCGAAAGCGCCCACTATGACGGTACAATTGAAAACAACAACCTTCTCCTCTCGCCGTTGAAGCTCAGCCAGGGTTACAAAGATTCCGTTGTGACAGCCAGCTTCGTAGAGACCGGTAAATTTACGATGTATTTCACTAATTATGTCAATTAAAATGCGTCGTCGAATACAAAACACCCAATAATTGCATTACGTTTCAGAACTTTCTAGATTCTTCAGTGCCGTCGTTGAGGACAACATGGTCAAAGTGTCAATGAGTGAATTAGATCAGACTGCTATAGACCAGAACAGCTTCATCAACCTTCAGATAGTAGCCACTGCTAGGAGCAGCACCGCGACTGCCGTCATCACCCTGGAGATTATAAAAGACGACAATGTTACTCCAGTATTTGAGCAGCCAATTTACACCGGGACCTATGATCCCAACACTTCGACCGGTTTGGCTGTTCAGCCAATAGTGTTCACACAGGGTTACGATGGAGTGGAGTCTGTGGTTCTAAAAGGAGGTAATAAGCCGCGTTGTTAACACACATCTAATGTGTGCTTTAAATAAAAAATACAACTAACACTAGTAGCTCAATGTAGACATAGCCTTCCTTTTTGACACTGAAACATGATAAGGTTGTCAATAAAATGCTTTTCTACTTTATAGATCTCCAGGAATACTTCTTAGCGACGCAGGAGGGACCTGTCGTTACAGTATACGTATCCGCTATCCCGGCTGAACACTTTGACTTGGGCCGCATTGTACTATACATGGAAGCCACGAAACCAAGGACTGTGGGAGCCAAAGCTACACTAATCGTCACCCTACCCACAGGTAGCTAATGCTTTACAAATTCGATTGGGTTGTTACAGATTTATACAAACATAGGTCGTCATAACTCCATATACGGTTTAAGTTAACTAGACCTGATAATATCGAATAGAAACTGCAGCTCGGTATCGGAAATACTCATGCACATATTATTTACTTTCAGTGGATCCTGTGCAATTCGAAAGCGCCCACTATGACGGTACAATTGAAAACAACAACCTTCTCCTCTCGCCGTTGAAGCTCAGCCAGGGTTACAAAGATTCCGTTGTGACAGCCAGCTTCGTAGAGACCGGTAAATTTACGATGTATTTCACTAATTATGTCAATTAAAATGCGTCGTCGAATACAAAACACCCAATAATTGCATTACGTTTCAGAACTTTCTAGATTCTTCAGTGCCGTCGTTGAGGACAACATGGTCAAAGTGTCAATGAGTGAATTAGATCAGACTGCTATAGACCAGAACAGCTTCATCAACCTTCAGATAGTAGCCACTGCTAGGAGCAGCACCGCGACTGCCGTCATCACCCTGGAGATTATAAAAGACGACAATGTTACTCCAGTATTCGAGCAGCCAATTTACACCGGGACCTATGATCCCAACACTTCGACCGGTTTGGCTGTTCAGCCAATAGTGTTCACACAGGGTTACGATGGAGTAGAGTCTGTGGTTCTAAAAGGAGGTAATAAGCCGCGTTGTTAACACACGTCTAATGTGTGCTTTAAATAAAAAATACAACTAACACTAGTAGCTCAATGTAGACATAGCCTTCCTTTTTGACACTGAAACATGATAAGGTTGTCAATAAAATGCTTTTCTACTTCATAGATCTCCAGGAATACTTCTTAGCGACGCAGGAGGGACCTGTCGTTACAGTACACGTATCCGCTATCCCGGCTGAACACTTTGACTTGGGCCGCATTGTACTATACATGGAAGCCACGAAACCAAGGACTGTGGGCGCCAAAGCTACACTAATCGTCACCCTACCCACAGGTAGCTAATGCTTTACAAATTCGATTGGGTTGTTACAGATTTATAGAAACACAGGTCGTCATAAATCCATATACGGTTTAAGTTAACTAGACCTGATAATATCGAATAGAAACTGCAGCTCGGTATCGGAAATACTCATGCACATATTATTTACTTTCAGTGGATCCTGTGCAATTCGAAAGCGCCCACTATGACGGTACAATTGAAAACAACCACCTTCTCCTCTCGCCGTTGAAGCTCAGCCAGGGTTACAAAGATTCCGTTGTGACAGCCAGCTTCGTAGAGACCGGTAAATTTACGATGTATTTCACTAATTATGTCAATTAAAATGCGTCGTCGAATACAAAACACCCAATAATTGCATTACGTTTCAGAACTTTCTAGATTCTTCAGTGCCGTCGTTGAGGACAACATGGTCAAAGTGTCAATGAGTGAATTAGATCAGACTGCTATAGACCAGAACAGCTTCATCAACCTTCAGATAGTAGCCACTGCTAGGAGCAGCACCGCGACTGCCGTCATCACCCTGAAGATTATAAAAGACGACAATGTTACTCCAGTATTCGAGCAGCCAATTTACACCGGGACCTATGATCCCAACACTTCGACCGGTTTGGCTGTTCAGCCAATAGTGTTCACACAGGGTTATGATGGAGTGGAGTCTGTGGTTCTAAAAGGAGGTAATAAGCCGCGTTGTTAACACACATCTAATGTGTGCTTTAAATAAAAAATACAACTAACACTAGTAGCTCAATGTAGACATAGCCTTCCTTTTTGACACTGAAACATGATAAGGTTGTCAATAAAATGCTTTTCTACTTCATAGATCTCCAGGAATACTTCTTAGCGACGCAGGAGGGACCTGTCGTTACAGTACACGTATCCGCTATCCCGGCTGAACACTTTGACTTGGGCCGCATTGTACTATACATGGACGCCACGAAACCAAGGACTGTGGGCGCCAAAGCTACACTAATCGTCACCCTACCCACAGGTAGCTAATGCTTTACAAATTCGATTGGGTTGTTACAGATTTATAGAAACACAGGTCGTCATAAATCCATATACGGTTTAAGTTAACTAGACCTGATAATATCGAATAGAAACTGCAGCTCGGTATCGGAAATACTCATGCACATATTATATTACTTTCAGTGGATCCTGTGCAATTCGAAAGCGCCCACTATGACGGTACAATTGAAAACAACAACCTTCTCCTCTCGCCGTTGAAGCTCAGCCAGGGTTACAAAGATTCCGTTGTGACAGCCAGCTTCGTAGAGACCGGTAAATTTACGATGTATTTCACTAATTATGTCAATTAAAATGCGTCGTCGAATACAAAACACCCAATAATTGCATTACGTTTCAGAACTTTCTAGATTCTTCAGTGCCGTCGTTGAGGACAACATGGTCAAAGTGTCAATGAGTGAATTAGATCAGACTGCTATAGACCAGAACAGCTTCATCAACCTTCAGATAGTAGCCACTGCTAGGAGCAGCACGCGACTGCCGTCATCACCCTGGAGATTATAAAAGACGACAATGTTACTCCAGTATTCGAGCAGCCAATTTACACCGGGACCTATGATCCCAACACTTCGACCGGTTTGGCTGTTCAGCCAATAGTGTTCACACAGGGTTACGATGGAGTGGAGTCTGTGGTTCTAAAAGGAGGTAATAAGCCGCGTTGTTAACACACATCTAATTGTGCTTTAAATAAAAAATACAACTAACACTAGTAGCTCAATGTAGACATAGCCTTCCTTTTTGACACTGAAACATGATAAGGTTGTCAATAAAATGCTTTTCTACTTCATAGATCTCCAGGAATACTTCTTAGCGACGCAGGAGGGACCTGTCGTTACAGTACACGTATCCGCTATCCGGCTGAACACTTTGACTTGGGCCGCATTGTACTATACATGGACGCCACGAAACCAAGGACTGTGGGCGCCAAAGCTACACTAATCGTCACCCTACCCACAGGTAGCTAATGCTTTACAAATTCGATTGGGTTGTTACAGATTTATAGAAACACAGGTCGTCATAAATCCATATACGGTTTAAGTTAACTAGACCTGATAATATCGAATAGAAACTGCAGCTCGGTATCGGAAATACTCATGCACATATTATTTACTTTCAGTGGATCCTGTGCAATTCGAAAGCGCCCACTATGACGGTACAATTGAAAACAACAACCTTCTCCTCTCGCCGTTGAAGCTCAGCCAGGGTTACAAAGATTCCGTTGTGACAGCCAGCTTCGTAGAGACCGGTAAATTTACGATGTATTTCACTAATTATGTCAATTAAAATGCGTCGTCGAATACAAAACACCCAATAATTGCATTACGTTTCAGAACTTCTAGATTCTTCAGTGCCGTCGTTGAGGACAACATGGTCAAAGTGTCAATGAGTGAATTAGATCAGACTGCTATAGACCAGAACAGCTTCATCAACCTTCAGATAGTAGCCACTGCTAGGAGCAGCACCGCGACTGCCGTCATCACCCTGGAGATTATAAAAGACGACAATGTTACTCCAGTATTCGAGCAGCCAATTTACACCGGGACCTATGATCCCAACACTTCGACCGGTTTGGCTGTTCAGCCAATAGTGTTCACACAGGGTTATGATGGAGTGGAGTCTGTGGTTCTAAAAGGAGGTAATAAGCCGCGTTGTTAACACACATCTAATGTGTGCTTTAAATAAAAAATACAACTAACACTAGTAGCTCAATGTAGACATAGCCTTCCTTTTTGACACTGAAACATGATAAGGTTGTCAATAAAATGCTTTTCTACTTCATAGATCTCCAGGAATACTTCTTAGCGACGCAGGAGGGACCTGTCGTTACAGTACACGTATCCGCTATCCCGGCTGAACACTTTGACTTGGGCCGCATTGTACTATACATGGACGCCACGAAACCAAGGACTGTGGGCGCCAAAGCTACACTAATCGTCACCCTACCCACAGGTAGCTAATGCTTTACAAATTCGATTGGGTTGTTACAGATTTATAGAAACACAGGTCGTCATAAATCCATATACGGTTTAAGTTAACTAGACCTGATAATATCGAATAGAAACTGCAGCTCGGTATCGGAAATACTCATGCACATATTATTTACTTTCAGTGGATCCTGTGCAATTCGAAAGCGCCCACTATGACGGTACAATTGAAAACAACAACCTTCTCCTCTCGCCGTTGAAGCTCAGCCAGGGTTACAAAGATTCCGTTGTGACAGCCAGCTTCGTAGAGACCGGTAAATTTACGATGTATTTCACTAATTATGTCAATTAAAATGCGTCGTCGAATACAAAACACCCAATAATTGCATTACGTTTCAGAACTTTCTAGATTCTTCAGTGCCGTCGTTGAGGACAACATGGTCAAAGTGTCAATGAGTGAATTAGATCAGACTGCTATAGACCAGAACAGCTTCATCAACCTTCAGATAGTAGCCACTGCTAGGAGCAGCACCGCGACTGCCGTCATCACCCTGGAGATTATAAAAGACGACAATGTTACTCCAGTATTCGAGCAGCCAATTTACACTGGGACCTATGATCCTGACGGGAAATTGATAATTGAGCAAATATTATTTAGTCAGGGTTATGATGGAGTTGACTCCGTGGTCTTTGACGGAGGTAAATTATTAATTTATGAAAGTTTGTTAGTACAAACTTTATACATATGTCTTATATTATGGAATATAACGGAGCAATACTAAGATATTTATCATCAAACTTGTATTACTTTCTTGTTTTTAGAACACAAGAGATTCTTCACAGCGACGCGGAATGGAGCCCACGTTACAATAGAAGTATCAACTATACCGCCTGAGTTATTCAACTTGGGGCACATAATATTGTCTTTGCAAGCTACAAAGCCAAGGACTGTGGGTGCTACTACTGCTGTGATCATCACTCTGCCTGCAGGTGAGAAATTTAAAATGGTTAAGTATATTTTAAGACTTTTATAAAATGAAAACCACAGTAGTTATACGTAAACGTGACGGCAAGTTGATGATAATAATTGTAAAGTTCTAACTTTAATGTGTTTTATTCCAGCCTTACAGAATATACCTAGTCAACAATGTTACAATATCATTACGGAATAAGAGGGATTATTTTCCTCTTATACCATAAAACTTTTCTTAATTTATGTCCTTATTTTGACCTAATATTTCAATCATTTCTTAATTTTTTATTCAGCTAGTATATTAGAATTTGGAGAATCTATTTACGAAGAACGTTTTGTAAGAGATGGCTTATAGGGTAATCTAAGCTTTAATACAATACTGTTGACTACTGTGTTTGACTATACCGTGGAGTTCGCTATAAGAAATGTATGTACCCATTATCGACATATTATCAGGTTCTGCAATAAGATGATTAGGTGTATGATATTCACATTCATTATTTGTAAATTATGGATGTATGTGTGTATGTATAATGTATTGTACTCGTGTGTAGGAAGTCAAATATGAACACGCAAGACTTTTAATAATATATAATTTATTTAATTAATTACAGTAATTGCTCAGCATGAGCGTTATTAAATAATGAACTCGTAAATCTATATTACATCATCTTAAATACTAGAAAAAGGTTTGTATGTGTGTCTCTATGTTTGTGTATATGTGTGTCCGTGGCTAGACCTAACAGTGGGCTAGCAACGGAAGCAGTTGGGATAGATTACTTTATCCTTAGCTGATGAGGAGAAATAGTTGCTGACAGATCACACTTGGACGTTATTGATTAGGAGAACCTAATGGGCCTTCCTGGAAGTCATGGGTGGCATGGCGTGATCAGTGTTTATGGTAACTGTTCGTGGTACTGGTTCAGTATACATAACTACGTATACAGGGTAGAATTTTAAAATGCCACCTGAAGGGGAAGTACTCTTAATACTTAAGATAGAAATTTTTACTCAAAGAAAACATTCCTTTATTTTTGAAAAGAAACAAAATAACAATTTGTGTATAATGACAGCTGTAAAAAATTATGAAACTTTAAACAACGTAGAAAAGTGTGTAATTTTTGTGGGTTGCAGAAGTGTTCTCCAGCATATAGCTCGATGTGCCTCTGGACACAGAGGTGGATCGGTACCTTATGCTATACTGAATCAAATTATGTACTATAAATAAATAAATAAAATTCATTTATTTCGAGCACATGCCCATAGAAAATTATACACAGAAAATAGAAATTACAAAGTACAAATTACAAAAATTATTATTAATAGTGTACTGTATGTAATCTGTTAGTGTAGTGTACTCATTAATCGTTGATACAATCTCTGTAAGATTTTCATATGTTCCTACAGGTTCGGAGCCGGAAGATAATGTATCATTCCAGAACCTCGTCCACCGAGGCACTGTTCAAGACAATGTCGTCCAACACGAGGATATCAGAATACTTGGTTTCGATGGAACAACTATCGACTTACATGGAGGTACGAAGACAAATATTAGTATGAATTTATTTCGACTCAGTCATTACGGAAACCAATTTGTGCAACTCAGAAACTTCCGAGAGTCATGCTTCGAGGCGAATGGGCGGGCCTTCATACTGTCTCTGCTACACTAACAACTAATGTAATTTGGAAACAAATAGATCTGCTGTCTATTTCATCGTAGGAATAACGCAAAATATGCACGTTTGGGTAACTCGTGACGAATATTGTATTTCAGATTACTCAGACTTGTTCGCGGCGCGTGTCACGAACGGATTGGTGTCGGTGACACTGAAGCCAGAACAGAACCTCCCCGCTACCGTCACACGCGTAGCCCTTGAGCTCCACGCGAGAAGCGCAAGAGCTGTATTGCTTCTTAATGTCTTGGGATCAGGTAGCTACGGTTTAATTAATTAAATACTCGTAATTAGAATAGACAGGGTCTACCCCAGGAATCGGTGACTACCATCCACTCTAATCACCTTTCGAACCCCATATAGAGCTTTGGCTGTATATCTTAACAGTTTGTGGGATAAGACAAACAGGCATATAAAATACATATTCGGAAAAGCTGTAAAATATCCTTTTACTAAACGGACGGCTGGCAATGAGAATGTAAGCACCTTTCGAACCCCACATAGAGCTATGGCTGTATATCTTAACAATTTGTGGGATAAGACAAACAGGCATATAAAATACATATTCGGAAAAGCTGTAAAATATCCTTTTACTAAACGGACGGCTGGCAATGAGAATGTTTCGCAATCGAAATAATATTTTTTCTTTCAGCTGCCATAGCTACCATTTCTGTCGTTTTAATTCTCCAAATTAATACTTGGTTACACATAAATCTGTTAGTGTAGTGTACTCATTAATCGTTGATACAATCTCTGTAAGATTTTCATATGTTCCTACAGGTTCGGATCCGGAAGATAATGTATCATTCCAGAACCTCGTCCACCGAGGCACTGTTCAAGACAATGTCGTCCAACACGAGGATATCAGAATACTTGGTTTCGATGGAACAACTATCGACTTACATGGAGGTACGAAGACAAATATTAGTATGAATTTATTTCGACTCAGTCATTACGGAAACCAATTTGTGCAACTCAGAAACTTGCGAGAGTCATGCTTCGAGGCGAATGGGCCTTCATTCTGTCTCTGCTACACTAACAACTAATGTAATTTGGAAACAAATAGAGCTTCTGTCTATTTCATCGTAGGAATAACGCAAAATATGCACGTTTGGGTAACTCGTGACGAATATTGTATTTCAGATTACTCAGACTTGTTCGCGGCGCGTGTCACGAACGGGTTGGTGTCGGTGACACTGAAGCCAGAACAGAACCTCCCCGCTGCCGTCACACGCGTAGCCCTTGAGCTCCACGCGAAAAGCGCAAGAGCTGTATTGCTTCTTAATGTCTTGGGATCAGGTAGCTACGGTTTAATTAATTAAATACTCGTAATTAGAATAGACAGGGTCTACCCCAGGAATCGGTGACTACCATCCACTCTAATCACCTTTCGAACCCCATATAGAGCTATGGCTGTATATCTTAACAGTTTGTGTGATAAGACAAACAGGCATATAAAATACATATTCGGAAAAGCTGTAAAATATCCTTTTACTAAACGGACGGCTGGCAATGAGAATGTTTCGCAATCGAAATAATATTTTTTCTTTCAGCTGCCATAGCTACCATTTCTGTCGTTTTAATTCTCCAAATTAATACTTGGTTACACATAAATCTGTTAGTGTAGTGTACTCATTAATCGTTGATACAATCTCTGTAAGATTTTCATATGTTCCTACAGGTTCGGAGCCGGAAGATAATGTATCATTCCAGAACCTCGTCCACCGAGGCACTGTTCAAGACAATGTCGTCCAACACGAGGATATCAGAATACTTGGTTTCGATGGAACAACTATCGACTTACATGGAGGTACGAAGACAAATATTAGTATGAATTTATTTCGACTCAGTCATTACGGAAACCAATTTGTGCAACTCAGAAACTTGCGAGAGTCATGCTTCGAGGCGAATGGGCCTTCATTCTGTCTCTGCTACACTAACAACTAATGTAATTTGGAAACAAATACAGCTTCTGTCTATTTCATCGTAGGAATAACGCAAAATATGCACGTTTGGGTAACTCGTGACGAATATTGTATTTCAGATTACTCAGACTTGTTCGCGGCGCGTGTCACGAACGGATTGGTGTCGGTGACACTGAAGCCAGAACAGAACCTCCCCGCTGCCGTCACACGCGTAGCCCTTGAGCTCCACGCGAGAAGCGCAAGAGCTGTATTGCTTCTTAATGTCTTGGGATCAGGTAGCTACGGTTTAATTAATTAAATACTCGTAATTAGAATAGACAGGGTCTACCCCAGGAATCGGTGACTACCATCCACTTTTATCACCTTTCGAACCCCACATAGAGCTATGGCTGTATATCTTAACAATTTGTGGGATAAGACAAACAGGCATATAAAATACATATTCGGAAAAGCTGTAAAATATCCTTTTACTAAACGGACGGCTGGCAATGAGTATGTTTCGCTATCGAAATATTATTTTTTTCTTTCAGTTGCCATAGTTACCGTGGTTCTCGTTTTAATTCTCTAAATTAATACTTGGTTACACATAAATCTGTTAGTGTAGTGTACTCATTAATCGTTGATACAATCTCTGTAAGATTTTATATGTTCCTACAGGTTCGGAGCCGGAAGATAATGTATCATTCCAGAACCTCGTCCACCGAGGCACTGTTCAAGACAATGTCGTCCAACACGAGGATATCAGAATACTTGGTTTCGATGGAACAACTATCGACTTACATGGAGGTACGAAGACAAATATTAGTATGAATTTATTTCGACTCAGTCATTACGGAAACCAATTTGTGCAACTCAGAAACTTGCGAGAGTCATGCTTCGAGGCGAATGGGCCTTCATTCTGTCTCTGCTACACTAACAACTAATGTAATTTGGAAACAAATACAGCTTCTGTCTATTTCATCGTAGGAATAACGCAAAATATGCACGTTTGGGTAACTCGTGACGAATATTGTATTTCAGATTACTCAGACTTGTTCGCGGCGCGTGTCACGAACGGATTGGTGTCGGTGACACTGAAGCCAGAACAGAACCTCCCCGCTGCCGTCACACGCGTAGCCCTTGAGCTCCACGCGAGAAGCGCAAGAGCTGTATTGCTTCTTAATGTCTTGGGATCAGGTAGCTACGGTTTAATTAATTAAATACTCGTAATTAGAATAGACAGGGTCTACCCCAGGAATCGGCGACTACCATCCACTCTAAGCACCTTTCGAACACATAGAGCTATGGCTGTATATCTTAACAATTTGTGGGATAAGACAAACAGGCATATAAAATACATATTCGGAAAAGCTGTAAAATATCCTTTTACTAAACGGACGGCTGGCAATGAGAATGTTTCGCAATCGAAATAATATTTTTTCTTTCAGCTGCCATAGCTACCATTTCTGTCGTTTTAATTCTCCAAATTAATACTTGGTTACACATAAATCTGTTAGTGTAGTGTACTCATTAATCGTTGATACATTCTCTGTAAGATTTTCATATGTTCCTACAGGTTCGGAGCCGGAAGATAATGTATCATTCCAGAACCTCGTCCACCGAGGCAGTGTTCAAGACTATGTCGTCCAACACGAGGATATCAGAATACTTGGTTTCGATGGAACAACTATCGACTTACATGGAGGTACGAAGACAAATATTAGTATGAATTTATTTCGACTCAGTCATTACGGAAACCAATTTGTGCAACTCAGAAACTTGCGAGAGTCATGCTTCGAGGCGAATGGGCCTTCATTCTGTCTCTGCTACACTAACAACTAATGTAATTTGGAAACAAATAGATCTGCTGTCTATTTCATCGTAGGAATAACGCAAAATATGCACGTTTGGGTAACTCGTGACGAATATTGTATTTCAGATTACTCAGACTTGTTCGCGGCGCGTGTCACGAACGGATTGGTGTCGGTGACACTGAAGCCAGAACAGAACCTCCCCGCTGCCGTCACACGCGTAGCCCTTGAGCTCCACGCGAGAAGCGCAAGAGCTGTATTGCTTCTTAATGTCTTGGGATCAGGTAGCTACGGTTTAATTAATTAAATATTCGTAATTAGAATAGACAGGGTCTACCCAGGAATCGGTGACTACCATCCACTTTTATCACCTTTCGAACCCCACATAGAGCTATGGCTGTATATCTTAACAATTTGTGGGATAAGACAAACAGGCATATAAAATACATATTCGGAAAAGCTGTAAAATATCCTTTTACTAAACGGACGGCTGGCAATGAGTATGTTTCGCTATCGAAATATTATTTTTTTCTTTCAGTTGCCATAGTTACCGTGGTTCTCGTTTTAATTCTCTAAATTAATACTTGGTTACACATAAATCTGTTAGTGTAGTGTACTCATTAATCGTTGATACATTCTCTGTAAGATTTTCATATGTTCCTACAGGTTCGGAGCCGGAAGATAATGTATCATTCCAGAACCTCGTCCACCGAGGCACTGTTCAAGACAATGTCGTCCAACACGAGGATATCAGAATACTTGGTTTCGATGGAACAACTATCGACTTACATGGAGGTACGAAGACAATATTAGTATGAATTTATTTCGACTCAGTCATTACGGAAACCAATTTGTGCAACTCAGAACTTGCGAGAGTCATGCTTCGAGGCGAATGGGCCTTCATTCTGTCTCTGCTACACTAACAACTAATGTAATTTGGAAACAAATACAGCTTCTGTCTATTTCATCGTAGGAATAACGCAAAATATGCACGTTTGGGTAACTCGTGACGAATATTGTATTTCAGATTACTCAGACTTGTTCGCGGCGCGTGTCACGAACGGATTGGTGTCGGTGACACTGAAGCCAGAACAGAACCTCCCCGCTACCGTCACACGCGTAGCCCTTGAGCTCCACGCGAGAAGCGCAAGAGCTGTATTGCTTCTTAATGTCTTGGGATCAGGTAGCTACGGTTTAATTAATTAAATACTCGTAATTAGAATAGACGGGGTCTACCCCAGGAATCGGTGACTACCATCCACTTTTATCACCTTTCGAACCCCACATAGAGCTATGGCTGTATATCTTAACAATTTGTGGGATAAGACAAACAGGCATATAAAATACATATTCGGAAAAGCTGTAAAATATCCTTTTACTAAACGGACGGCTGGCAATGAGTATGTTTCGCTATCGAAATATTATTTTTTTCTTTCAGTTGCCATAGTTACCGTGGTTCTCGTTTTAATTCTCTAAATTAATACTTGGTTACACATAAATCTGTTAGTGTAGTGTACTCATTAATCGTTGATACAATCTCTGTAAGATTTTCATATGTTCCTACAGGTTCGGAGCCGGAAGATAATGTATCATTCCAGAACCTCGTCCACCGAGGCACTGTTCAAGACAATGTCGTCCAACACGAGGATATCAGAATACTTGGTTTCGATGGAACAACTATCGACTTACATGGAGGTACGAAGACAAATATTAGTATGAATTTATTTCGACTCAGTCATTACGGAAACCAATTTGTGCAACTCAGAAACTTGCGAGAGTCATGCTTCGAGGCGAATGGGCCTTCATTCTGTCTCTGCTACACTAACAACTAATGTAATTTGGAAACAAATACAGCTTCTGTCTATTTCATCGTAGGAATAACGCAAAATATGCACGTTTGGGTAACTCGTGACGAATATTGTATTTCAGATTACTCAGACTTGTTCGCGGCGCGTGTCACGAACGGATTGGTGTCGGTGACACTGAAGCCAGAACAGAACCTCCCCGCTGCCGTCACACGCGTAGCCCTTGAGCTCCACGCGAGAAGCGCAAGAGCTGTATTGCTTCTTAATGTCTTGGGATCAGGTAGCTACGGTTTAATTAATTAAATACTCGTAATTAGAATAGCAGGGTCTACCCCAGGAATCGGCGACTACCATCCACTCTAAGCACCTTTCGAACCCCACATAGAGCTATGGCTGTATATCTTAACAATTTGTGGGATAAGACAAACAGGCATATAAAATACATATTCGGAAAAGCTGTAAAATATCCTTTTACTAAACGGACGGCTGGCAATGAGAATGTTTCGCAATCGAAATAATATTTTTTCTTTCAGCTGCCATAGCTACCATTTCTGTCGTTTTAATTCTCCAAATTAATACTTGGTTACACATAAATCTGTTAGTGTAGTGTACTCATTAATCGTTGATACAATCTCTGTAAGATTTTCATATGTTCCTACAGGTTCGGAGCCGGAAGATAATGTATCATTCCAGAACCTCGTCCACCGAGGCAGTGTTCAAGACTATGTCGTCCAACACGAGGATATCAGAATACTTGGTTTCGATGGAACAACTATCGACTTACATGGAGGTACGAAGACAAATATTAGTATGAATTTATTTCGACTCAGTCATTACGGAAACCAATTTGTGCAACTCAGAAACTTGCGAGAGTCATGCTTCGAGGCGAATGGGCCTTCATTCTGTCTCTGCTACACTAACAACTAATGTAATTTGGAAACAAATAGATCTGCTGTCTATTTCATCGTAGGAATAACGCAAAATATGCACGTTTGGGTAACTCGTGACGAATATTGTATTTCAGATTACTCAGACTTGTTCGCGGCGCGTGTCACGAACGGATTGGTGTCGGTGACACTGAAGCCAGAACAGAACCTCCCCGCTGCCGTCACACGCGTAGCCCTTGAGCTCCACGCGAGAAGCGCAAGAGCTGTATTGCTTCTTAATGTCTTGGGATCAGGTAGCTACGGTTTAATTAATTAAATATTCGTAATTAGAATAGACAGGGTCTACCCCAGGAATCGGTGACTACCATCCACTTTTATCACCTTTCGAACCCCACATAGAGCTATGGCTGTATATCTTAACAATTTGTGGGATAAGACAAACAGGCATATAAAATACATATTCGGAAAAGCTGTAAAATATCCTTTTACTAAACGGACGGCTGGCAATGAGTATGTTTCGCTATCGAAATATTATTTTTTTCTTTCAGTTGCCATAGTTACCGTGGTTCTCGTTTTAATTCTCTAAATTAATACTTGGTTACACATAAATCTGTTAGTGTAGTGTACTCATTAATCGTTGATACATTCTCTGTAAGATTTTCATATGTTCCTACAGGTTCGGAGCCGGAAGATAATGTATCATTCCAGAACCTCGTCCACCGAGGCACTGTTCAAGACAATGTCGTCCAACACGAGGATATCAGAATACTTGGTTTCGATGGAACAACTATCGACTTACATGGAGGTACGAAGACAAATATTAGTATGAATTTATTTCGACTCAGTCATTACGGAAACCAATTTGTGCAACTCAGAAACTTGCGAGAGTCATGCTTCGAGGCGAATGGGCCTTCATTCTGTCTCTGCTACACTAACAACTAATGTAATTTGGAAACAAATAGAGCTTCTGTCTATTTCATCGTAGGAATAACGCAAAATATGCACGTTTGGGTAACTCGTGACGAATATTGTATTTCAGATTACTCAGACTTGTTCGCGGCGCGTGTCACGAACGGATTGGTGTCGGTGACACTGAAGCCAGAACAGAACCTCCCCGCTACCGTCACACGCGTAGCCCTTGAGCTCCACGCGAGAAGCGCAAGAGCTGTATTGCTTCTTAATGTCTTGGGATCAGGTAGCTACGGTTTAATTAATTAAATACTCGTAATTAGAATAGACGGGGTCTACCCCAGGAATCGGTGACTACCATCCACTTTTATCACCTTTCGAACCCCACATAGAGCTATGGCTGTATATCTTAACAATTTGTGGGATAAGACAAACAGGCATATAAAATACATATTCGGAAAAGCTGTAAAATATCCTTTTACTAAACGGACGGCTGGCAATGAGTATTTTCGCTATCGAAATATTATTTTTTTCTTTCAGTTGCCATAGTTACCGTGGTTCTCGTTTTAATTCTCTAAATTAATACTTGGTTACACATAAATCTGTTAGTGTAGTGTACTCATTAATCGTTGATACAATCTCTGTAAGATTTTCATATGTTCCTACAGGTTCGGAGCCGGAAGATAATGTATCATTCCAGAACCTCGTCCACCGAGGCACTGTTCAAGACAATGTCGTCCAACACGAGGATATCAGAATACTTGGTTTCGATGGAACAACTATCGACTTACATGGAGGTACGAAGACAAATATTAGTATGAATTTATTTCGACTCAGTCATTACGGAAACCAATTTGTGCAACTCAGAAACTTGCGAGAGTCATGCTTCGAGGCGAATGGGCCTTCATTCTGTCTCTGCTACACTAACAACTAATGTAATTTGGAAACAAATACAGCTTCTGTCTATTTCATCGTAGGAATAACGCAAAATATGCACGTTTGGGTAACTCGTGACGAATATTGTATTTCAGATTACTCAGACTTGTTCGCGGCGCGTGTCACGAACGGATTGGTGTCGGTGACACTGAAGCCAGAACAGAACCTCCCCGCTGCCGTCACACGCGTAGCCCTTGAGCTCCACGCGAGAAGCGCAAGAGCTGTATTGCTTCTTAATGTCTTGGGATCAGGTAGCTACGGTTTAATTAATTAAATACTCGTAATTAGAATAGACAGGGTCTACCCCAGGAATCGGCGACTACCATCCACTCTAAGCACCTTTCGAACCCCACATAGAGCTATGGCTGTATATCTTAACAATTTGTGGGATAAGACAAAACAGGCATATAAAATACATATTCGGAAAAGCTGTAAAATATCCTTTTACTAAACGGACGGCTGGCAATGAGAATGTTTCGCATCGAAATAATATTTTTTCTTTCAGCTGCCATAGCTACCATTTCTGTCGTTTTAATTCTCCAAATTAATACTTGGTTACACATAAATCTGTTAGTGTAGTGTACTCATTAATCGTTGATACAATCTCTGTAAGATTTTCATATGTTCCTACAGGTTCGGAGCCGGAAGATAATGTATCATTCCAGAACCTCGTCCACCGAGGCAGTGTTCAAGACTATGTCGTCCAACACGAGGATATCAGAATACTTGGTTTCGATGGAACAACTATCGACTTACATGGAGGTACGAAGACAAATATTAGTATGAATTTATTTCGACTCAGTCATTACGGAAACCAATTTGTGCAACTCAGAAACTTGCGAGAGTCATGCTTCGAGGCGAATGGGCCTTCATTCTGTCTCTGCTACACTAACAACTAATGTAATTTGGAAACAAATAGATCTGCTGTCTATTTCATCGTAGGAATAACGCAAAATATGCACGTTTGGGTAACTCGTGACGAATATTGTATTTCAGATTACTCAGACTTGTTCGCGGCGCGTGTCACGAACGGATTGGTGTCGGTGACACTGAAGCCAGAACAGAACCTCCCGCTGCCGTCACACGCGTAGCCTTGAGCTCCACGCGAGAAGCGCAAGAGCTGTATTGCTTCTTAATGTCTTGGGATCAGGTAGCTACGGTTTAATTAATTAATATTCGTAATTAGAATAGACAGGGTCTACCCCAGGAATCGGTGACTACCATCCACTTTTATCACCTTTCGAACCCCACATAGAGCTATGGCTGTATATCTTAACAATTTGTGGGATAAGACAAACAGGCATATAAAATACATTCGGAAAAGCTGTAAATATCCTTTTACTAAACGGACGGCTGGCAATGAGTATGTTTCGCTATCGAAATATTATTTTTTTCTTTCAGTTGCCATAGTTACCGTGGTTCTCGTTTTAATTCTCTAAATTAATACTTGGTTACACATAAATCTGTTAGTGTAGTGTACTCATTAATCGTTGATACATCTCTGTAAGATTTTCATATGTTCCTACAGGTTCGGAGCCGGAAGATAATGTATCATTCCAGAACCTCGTCCACCGAGGCACTGTTCAAGACAATGTCGTCCAACACGAGGATATCAGAATACTTGGTTTCGATGGAACAACTATCGACTTACATGGAGGTACGAAGACAATATTAGTATGAATTTATTTCGACTCAGTCATTACGGAAACCAATTTGTGCAACTCAGAAACTTGCGAGAGTCATGCTTCGAGGCGAATGGGCCTTCATTCTGTCTCTGCTACACTAACAACTAATGTAATTTGGAAACAAATCAGCTTCTGTCTATTTCAATCGTAGGAATAACGCAAAATATGCACGTTTGGGTAACTCGTGACGAATATTGTATTTCAGATTACTCAGACTTGTTCGCGGCGCGTGTCACGAACGGATTGGTGTCGGTGACACTGAAGCCAGAACAGAACCTCCCCGCTGCCGTCACACGCGTAGCCCTTGAGCTCCACGCGAGAAGCGCAAGAGCTGTATTGCTTCTTAATGTCTTGGGATCAGGTAGCTACGGTTTAATTAATTAAATACTCGTAATTAGAATAGACAGGGTCTACCCCAGGAATCGGCGACTACCATCCACTCTAAGCACCTTTCGAACCCCACATAGAGCTATGGCTGTATATCTTAACAATTTGTGGGATAAGACAAACAGGCATATAAAATACATATTCGGAAAAGCTGTAAAATATCCTTTTACTAAACGGACGGCTGGCAATGAGAATGTTTCGCAATCGAAATAATATTTTTTCTTTCAGCTGCCATAGCTACCATTTCTGTCGTTTTAATTCTCCAAATTAATACTTGGTTACACATAAATCTGTTAGTGTAGTGTACTCATTAATCGTTGATACAATCTCTGTAAGATTTTCATATGTTCCTACAGGTTCGGAGCCGGAAGATAATGTATCATTCCAGAACCTCGTCCACCGAGGCAGTGTTCAAGACTATGTCGTCCAACACGAGGATATCAGAATACTTGGTTTCGATGGAACAACTATCGACTTACATGGAGGTACGAAGACAAATATTAGTATGAATTTATTTCGACTCAGTCATTACGGAAACCAATTTGTGCAACTCAGAAACTTGCGAGAGTCATGCTTCGAGGCGAATGGGCCTTCATTCTGTCTCTGCTACACTAACAACTAATGTAATTGGAAACAAATAGATCTGCTGTCTATTTCATCGTAGGAATAACGCAAAATATGCACGTTTGGGTAACTCGTGACGAATATTGTATTTCAGATTACTCAGACTTGTTCGCGGCGCGTGTCACGAACGGATTGGTGTCGGTGACACTGAAGCCAGAACAGAACCTCCCGCTGCCGTCACACGCGTAGCCTTGAGCTCCACGCGAGAAGCGCAAGAGCTGTATTGCTTCTTAATGTCTTGGGATCAGGTAGCTACGGTTTAATTAATTAAATATTCGTAATTAGAATAGACAGGGTCTACCCCAGGAATCGGTGACTACCATCCACTTTTATCACCTTTCGAACCCCACATAGAGCTATGGCTATATCTTAACAATTTGTGGGATAAGACAAACAGGCATATAAAATACATATTCGGAAAAGCTGTAAAATATCCTTTTACTAAACGGACGGCTGGCAATGAGTATGTTTCGCTATCGAAATATTATTTTTTTCTTTCAGTTGCCATAGTTACCGTGGTTCTCGTTTAATTCTCTAAATTAATACTTGGTTACACATAAATCTGTTAGTGTAGTGTACTCATTAATCGTTGATACATTCTCTGTAAGATTTTCATATGTTCCTACAGGTTCGGAGCCGGAAGATAATGTATCATTCCAGAACCTCGTCCACCGAGGCACTGTTCAAGACAATGTCGTCCAACACGAGGATATCGAATACTTGGTTTCGATGGAACAACTATCGACTTACATGGAGGTACGAAGACAATATTAGTATGAATTTATTTCGACTCAGTCATTACGGAAACCAATTTGTGCAACTCAGAAACTTGCGAGAGTCATGCTTCGAGGCGAATGGGCCTTCATTCTGTCTCTGCTACACTAACAACTAATGTAATTTGGAAACAAATACAGCTTCTGTCTATTTCATCGTAGGAATAACGCAAAATATGCACGTTTGGGTAACTCGTGACGAATATTGTATTTCAGATTACTCAGACTTGTTCGCGGCGCGTGTCACGAACGGATTGGTGTCGGTGACACTGAAGCCAGAACAGAACCTCCCCGCTGCCGTCACACGCGTAGCCTTGAGCTCCACGCGAGAAGCGCAAGAGCTGTATTGCTTCTTTAATGTCTTGGGATCAGGTAGCTACGGTTTAATTAATTAAATACTCGTAATTAGAATAGACAGGGTCTACCCCAGGAATCGGCGACTACCATCCACTCTAAGCACCTTTCGAACCCCACATAGAGCTATGGCTGTATATCTTAACAATTTGTGGGATAAGACAAACAGGCATATAAAATACATATTCGGAAAAGCTGTAAAATATCCTTTTACTAAACGGACGGCTGGCAATGAGAATGTTCGCAATCGAAATAATATTTTTTCTTTCAGCTGCCATAGCTACCATTTCTGTCGTTTTAATTCTCCAATTAATACTTGGTTACACATAAATCTGTTAGTGTAGTGTACTCATTAATCGTTGATACAATCTCTGTAAGATTTTATATGTTCCTACAGGTTCGGAGCCGGAAGATAATGTATCATTCCAGAACCTCGTCCACCGAGGCAGTGTTCAAGACTATGTCGTCCAACACGAGGATATCAGAATACTTGGTTTCGATGGAACAACTATCGACTTACATGGAGGTACGAAGACAATATTAGTATGAATTTATTTCGACTCAGTCATTACGGAAACCAATTTGTGCAACTCAGAAACTTGCGAGAGTCATGCTTCGAGGCGAATGGGCCTTCATTCTGTCTCTGCTACACTAACAACTATGTAATTTGGAAACAAATAGATCTGCTGTCTATTTCATCGTAGGAATAACGCAAAATATGCACGTTTGGGTAACTCGTGACGAATATTGTATTCAGATTACTCAGACTTGTTCGCGGCGCGTGTCACGAACGGATTGGTGTCGGTGACACTGAAGCCAGAACAGAACCTCCCGCTGCCGTCACACGCGTAGCCCTTGAGCTCCACGCGAGAAGCGCAAGAGCTGTATTGCTTCTTAATGTCTTGGGATCAGGTAGCTACGGTTTAATTAATTAAATATTCGTAATTAGAATAGACAGGGTCTACCCCAGGAATCGGTGACTACCATCCACTTTTATCACCTTTCGAACCCCAATAGAGCTATGGCTGTATATCTTAACAATTTGTGGGATAAGACAAACAGGCATATAAATACATATTCGGAAAAGCTGTAAAATATCCTTTTACTAAACGGACGGCTGGCAATGAGTATGTTTCGCTATCGAAATATTATTTTTTTCTTTCAGTTGCCATAGTTACCGTGGTTCTCGTTTAATTCTCTAAATTAATACTTGGTTACATAAATCTGTTAGTGTAGTGTACTCATTAATCGTTGATACATTCTCTGTAAGATTTCATATGTTCCTACAGGTTCGGAGCCGGAAGATAATGTAATCATTCCAGAACCTCGTCCACCGAGGCACTGTTCAAGATCAATGTCGTCCAACACGAGGATATCAGAATACTTGGTTTCGATGGAACAACTATCGACTTACATGGAGGTACGAAGACAAATATTAGTATGAATTTATTTCGACTCAGTCATTACGGAAACCAATTTGTTGCAACTCAGAAACTTGCGAGAGTATGCTTCGAGGCGAATGGGCCTTCATTCTGTCTCTGCTACACTAACAACTAATGTAATTTGGAAACAAATAGAGCTTCTGTCTATTTCATCGTAGGAATAACGCAAAATATGCACGTTTGGGTAACTCGTGACGATTATTGTATTTCAGATTACTCAGACTTGTTCGCGGCGCGTGTCACGAACGGATTGGTGTCGGTGACACTGAAGCCAGAACAGAACCTCCCCCGCTACCGTCACACGCGTAGCCCTTGAGCTCCACGCGAGAAGCGCAAGAGCTGTATTGCTTCTTAATGTCTTGGGATCAGGTAGCTACGGTTTTAATTAATTAAATACTCGTAATTAGAATAGACGGGGTCTACCCCAGGAATCGGTGACTACATCCACTTTTATCACTTTCGAACCCCACATAGAGCTATGGCTGTATATCTTAACAATTTGTGGGATAAGACAAACAGGCATATAAAATACATATTCGGAAAAGCTGTAAAATATCCTTTTACTAAACGGACGGCTGGCAATGAGTATGTTTCGCTATCGAAATATTATTTTTTTCTTTCAGTTGCCATAGTTACCGTGGTTCTCGTTTTAATTCTCTAAATTAATACTTGGTTACACATAAATTGTTAGTGTAGTGTAATCATTAATCGTTGATACAATCTCTGTAAGATTTTCATATGTTCCTACAGGTTCGGAGCCGGAAGATAATGTATCATTCCAGAACCTCGTCCACCGAGGCACTGTTCAAGACAATGTCGTCCAACACGAGGATATCAGAATACTTGGTTTCGATGGAACAACTATCGACTTACATGGAGGTACGAAGACAAATATTAGTATGAATTTATTTCGACTCAGTCATTACGGAAACCAATTTGTGCAACTCAGAAACTTGCGAGAGTCATGCTTCGAGGCGAATGGCCTTCATTCTGTCTCTGCTACACTAACAACTAATGTAATTTGGAAACAAATACAGTTCTGTCTATTTCATCGTAGGAATAACGCAAAATATGCACGTTTGGGTAACTCGTGACGAATATTGTATTTCAGATTACTCAGACTTGTTCGCGGCGCGTGTCACGAACGGATTGGTGTCGGTGACACTGAAGCCAGAACAGAACCTCCCCGCTGCCGTCACACGCGTAGCCCTTGAGCTCCACGCGAGAAGCGCAAGAGCTGTATTGCTTAATGTCTTGGATCAGGTAGCTACGGTTTAATTAATTAAACTACTCGTAATTAGAATAGACAGGGTCTACCCCAGGAATCGGCGACTACCATCCACTTAAGCACCTTTCGAACCCCACATAGAGCTATGGCTGTATATCTTAACAATTTGTGGGATAAGACAAACAGGCATATAAAATACATATTCGGAAAAGCTGTAAAATATCCTTTTACTAAACGGACGGCTGGCAATGAGAATGTTTCGCAATCGAAATAATATTTTTTCTTTCAGCTGCCATAGCTACCATTTCTGTCGTTTTAATTCTCCAAATTAATACTTGGTTACACATAATCTGTTAGTGTAGTGTACTCATTAATCGTTGATACAATCTCTGTAAGATTTTCATATGTTCCTACAGGTTCGGAGCCGGAAGATAATGTATCATTCCAGAACCTCGTCCACCGAGGCAGTGTTCAAGACTATGTCGTCCAACACGAGGATATCAGAATACTTGGTTTCGATGGAACAACTATCGACTTACATGGAGGTACGAAG